TTGATAAGGCGGATGAAACTCGGGCTACGATGTCTTCTCATTTCTAGGCTTGCGTTTGCACGTATTGGGTAGCGTAGTGTGCTGTGACATTGTGTAGGTCGTTCTACCATACTCATTTGTGTACACGTGTTCAAAAATATTGATTAAAGATGTAGGTAAGTTTGTATTAATGTTTTATTTTAGTTGTTCCTTCAATAATTCCTTAATTTTACAACAACTGCTATTTTATAGGTAAGTACAGTGTGTAAGATGCTTACAGAAATTCTAAAACATAACCTTACTTTCAAACTTTTGTTTCTTTTATTTTTCCGGTCATCTATTTATTCCTATCACATTTATTTGATTTTATTTCATAGAATGTCGAAAATAACCCTGGCTGTGGTTATAATAATTATTTTTGCAGAAAATACACCTGGCCTGCATCGGCAAAGTAAACGTTAGGACTTGTACCTACCATGGATATTATGAAATCTCTTCTGAGGAACCCAGTTGCCATTAAATTTAACAGAGCAGGCCACGATAAGCAATAATTAAAAAATTGTATCGTTATGGTGGTTATTTTTGGTAAGTTTCTGTTAACAGTGATATGACCTTTATATAAAGGTGAAGTTGCAGAACAACAACGGGACGCAATTATAACATCATATCACAATAACTGCTCATTAAAGAACATGAAAACTTTTGAGGAGATGAGCTGGTGGAACACCGAACTAGCCAGAAGGAAAACACGCAAACTTTTAAATAAGGCTAAAAAGACGAATGAGTGGAGAGAATACACCAAAACACTTACAGATTATAACAAAACTCTTAGGAAATCTAAGAGAGATTCATGGAGAACATTCTGTCAGGAAATTGAAAATACAACTGAAGGATGCAGGATGCATTCGAGCAAAAGATCTAATAAACCCTGTGGTGACTTTAAAAACCCAAACAGGGGAATACACTGAAACTGGAATGGAAACATTAAAACTACTTTTTAAAACTCATATCCCTGATTGCACAACAATTTCAAATGCAGCAAACCAAACCCACAAGAACTAGAACTCTCAAAAAAGAAACTCCAGCCAAGAGTGGAAAACTGCTAAATGGGTAGTCACAACAGAGAAAGTAACATGGGCAATACTCACTTTCAATCCATACAAATCACCGGGACCAGATGGGGCACTGCCTGTACTCTTGCAACAGGCAATAGGAATGCTGACCCTGCATATTTGTAGGGTCTACAGGGCAATTTTCATACATAAACATGTACCTAATACCTGGAAAAAAAGCAGAGTTGTCTTTATACCTAAACCGGGGCGTACAACGTATACTGTAGCAGAGGGCCGATAGATCAATAACTCTGACGTCATTTCTATTGAAAGGATTGGAAAAAATGATTGATCAGCATGTCCGGCAAACCACTCAGAAAGGCAATTTCATACAAACCAACATGCCTATTAATCAGAAAAATCTTGTGAGTCTGCTCTGCATCATCTCGTAACCAAGATAGAGGGGGACTCAGTAGTCAAAAACCGTGGTCGTAAAAAAATAGTGTGCAACATATGCACAAAATACTTTTCCCACTCGCTTGATTTGTGGCAATCGCCTGCCGGCTCGTGACACAAACTTCTGCGCTCGTGAGAAAAGTATCGCTTTGCGCACTTGGCGCAATTGTCAACTTGCCATTCCCTTATTAACAATGATATCAGTTTTACACAGACAAACGGATAGACTACGGACAGATACGCACAGATCACAGACAGACTAAGGACAAAATACGGACAAACTATGGATATGCTAGAAACAGACTATGGAAAGACTTCGGACAGACTACGGAAAGACTACAAACTAAAAACAGACTATGGACAGACGACTACGAACAGACTACGGACATACAACGGTCGGACTACGGATAGAGTACAGGCAGACTGAACATAAAAAATATTTTAAGTTTAATCTTAAGTTTATTTTCCTGAATGAAACTTGGATATTTTTGAAAGGGGGATACAAACGTATGGCAAGAAGAAAATTTAAACAGCTTAGGTTAAACTTAAGTTGAAAATAAGTAAGATGATCTCATTACCGTCCACTGCGACCCAAATACATCTATTGCGGCTCATGTCTTACTTATAATTCGCCCTACAACCTACAACATTTTATAAAGGTCATGTTTGAATTGGGTGAGACTTCTTGTTTAAAGTAGGTGGGCCTTAGTCGGGTGAAACTGAAGATCTGGAACCTAGTTATTTCTACCGCTACTGGTTCCAATGTTCTTGTTTTTAATTAAAAGAGAGCCTTCAGTCAAGAAGTAACTTGACAAGTGACATGCAGGTCTAACGTGTACAAGTGTTCCCAATCAACGGGTGTTACCTCTTCTTTAGGGTTGGTTCACAAAAGTCTGTTAATCTTACTAATCATGCTTGATTTTTACGTATTTCGAATCTGGCATTTACCTACTTAGCCCAGTTGTAATTAAATTCATATTTATTTTAAACAGTTTTCTTTGACGAATATGAAAACAATTACAAACTTGCTACATATTTTTATGCCATATATGTAGTCTGCGTATTTCGGGAACTATTTTATTGATGTATTATAAATAATCTAATATCAGACAGTCTTGAAATATAGATACAAAGAATAGGTAGTAAAATATTAGGTAACTAACAAGCAAAAAGATATAAAAGCAAATCTTTCTAGAGATCAAAAATTATCTTGTGCTTAGTCCTATTAATGGGATCAATAGCGATAAGAATAGCTTTTTCCCATGAGCGAAACAACATAGATACATTTTTATAACACTAGAACAGTAAATTAATTTTTATAGCAGCTACTGAAAGTAAATCTTCCCTAATTTATGATCAACTATAAAATACAAAATGTCCGGCAATAAAGAATAACAAAACCCATTACAAATGGAAATCTTTCTACTGTTTCTCACATTTTATCTGATTTATCTTTCTACTACTCATGTCTTTCACCTTTTTACGAACCAGAGTTATTACAATTTTACAATCGTCATCAACATTTTAGCGCCTCGGCATGCACCTAAATGCGTTCGTTAATTGTTTTATCAAAAAATTTATTTCTTTGTAACGAGATCTCGTTAAGTTGGAATCAGAAATCAGATAGCTTTCTATACCAACAATATTGTTGCACTCTTGTTGCTTAAATATATTTTTTAATTATTTATTATTGTAGAATTTGCATTTGCTGCTTTTCATTCGAAGGCTTTTTACATGCTATATTACTCAAAAACTACTTAAAAATTGGATTCTTTAATACTATCATTCCAGGTATACGTGAGATTAGTTATTTTATCACCGGTGTTGCGGCGAAATTAAAAATGTTAAATGGATAGGCGGATGAAAGCTAATTCAAATAAAAGGGTTTTGGTTCCAACTTTACCGATCTATTACAGGAAGCTTATTTTTAATAGTTGATTATATAACGAAATCCAATTATGGGGATGTTCGAAACTATCAAACACCAAAATTATTCAAAGAATCTAATATAAAACTTTTTTGCAAGATAATCGATGCTCCGTAGTACTTTTTTAAAAAACTATAGAAGGCAACTTATCAATGCCCACCATCTATGAATTAATTCACGGGAACAGCAATAACTATTTCCAAAGGCAACCAGATCATGAAAACGAAGGAGTTAGTCTACTATCTGTATCTGTATTTGTAACGTGTGAAAGGTGGGTAACCCAACGGTACTTATGGCTCACTAGACCCATTGTGCATCCTCCTAAGGTAATAGGCACCTTCTAACTCGTGATTTAGCTTACAGATTTAATGAAGCCGACAACATCGCCAAGAGGCGCTTCTCTTATATTGGCTTATATTAACTGACACTCGCCGAATAGATACAAGCATATGTGACCGTCTGGCAATTGTAGAGGATATTCTCGATGGTCTCATCTTCTTGTTCGCACTCCCTGCAGAGTGCGGATTCTGACATCCCCATTACATGGAGATTCTTCCGTACTTGTCAATAACCATTCAGAATGCTTGTAATGAGGCGCAGATTCTATATTTCTCGGAGAAGGAAGAGACAAATACATAATTACCACTCTCAGTAGCCAAAAAAACCAAAAACCAATGTGGCAATAAGAAATAATAAGGTCAGCACAACCAAATAAAAAGTCCTCAATGCCGCCAAGTGTCTTGTAGGGCAGGACCGGTAACGACAACTTCCTTAAAACTGACCTACAAAGTAGAGTTAAGGGCAAATAAAAAATTAAATATACCAGCAACTCCACGAAGAACAAAACAATTAAGTAGCCTAATCTCGAGAATCAAGGAGTCGAAAATTTTGTACCACACGTACACAAGTATGGCTTTCGTTTTAAGAGGCCTCACTACAGGCTTTGGTAAGTTTTAGGTAAGTACAGGTTGCTCGTTGACATTTAATGCCTCTTTGGTACTATGCATGATTCAAATGTTTTGTGAAACTGTGCGGAGTAAGTCGTAGTTATTTTCAGTCTTTTTAAATCTATTTAAAATGATTGTGTCTACTATTTTTGAAATTGTGTTTAACATTTATTTTGTAGTTGAGTTTCATAACCCTCTTTTTAGGGATATTTTTGATAAGAATGTTACTAATATCATCCGGCCCCAAAGCTTTTCTATTTTTGATTGTTTCCCTGAATTCTTTAGAAGAGGTGAAGAATGAATGTGGTATTCGTACTGGCTTTGTCGTCCTTAATTCATTGATTAAAATTTAATTGTGCTCACCGAAGGCTTCAGCTTCCACGTTATCTGTTGAGAGTACGTCAGGGGCCTGTTTCAAATAAATGAAGAGTTGAGGAGTGAGGAGCGGCATAATGTTAAATTTTATTTTACAAAAGCTTTGATGAGTTGAGGAGTGAAGGGTTGAAGAGTGACTAGGTGAAGAGTTAAATAGTTTATAAAATTTGTAATTTAATTCCATAAACACTCTTCTTTCCTCAATTCGTTAAGATTATCGACGGGTATACGAAAATTCTGATTTCTATTTCAAATACGTTATAGTGCAAAATCTACTATTTAGCAGTGATTCTTCTTCCGATGAAGCAAATGTGCCACAAAGGCAAAGAAAGTTATATAGGAAGAGACTAAGGTAAGACATTTGGCACAATATACCTACAAATTTGTGTATTATAAATGATACGGTTTCAAAAGCTACAAGTGGTTAAAAAATAGACCTTTTGATGTAAATACTAAATTCAGGATGTCTGAAGAAAAATTTAAATCTCTGGAAATAATTCTGAATAACGACTTGGAGCAAAGTACTAGACGAGTAGGATTAACAGTTAAACAAAGTATGGAGGTGTCTCTTCATTGGCTGGAAACAGGCGTACAATACCACGCTGTAAAATACCATGCATACATAAATTCGTAAAGGCTGTAATAAAACGCATATATCAATCTCACGTCAAATTTCCAGAGAACATGCATCTGGTTGCCCAAAATTTTTACCGCATAGCAAATATGCCACAGGTAATTTTAATGATTTATTTATTTTTTAAAAGGTACATTTTTGAAATATTATATCCTATGAATTTTATGATCTACTAAAATGTTTTATTAGGTGTGTGGTGCAGTGGATGGAACATTGATAAAAATAGATGCTCTTCAGAATATGAAGGACACTTTTTAGATAGACACGGGATTTGTTGAAGGACACTTTTTAGATAGACACGGGATTTGTTCTATTAATTATATGGCTGTATGTGGGCCTGCTTTGTAGTTCAATGCTACCAGAACAGACGCTGAAAATATAGCACAACAAAGAGTTCTAAGAAGTCACAAGTCAATCTGAAGAGTAATAGAATGCGCTTTTGGGATTAAAAAAAATTCCATGTCTTGCATGTTAATCCAATTTTTGCAGCGAGAATATCCAAATGCTTCTTTGCGCTATGTAACTTTATTAGACTGGGAGAAGAAGATATTGAAAGAGAACTATTTCTAGAAAATGAAGAACCAGACGAAAACCTCACTGAGCTCGACAATGATGTGTTCCAGAACGATGCAGCTGGAAGACAAATGGCCGAAAACAGATTTCGGGAAATTATACAACATTTTATGTATATAACAAATTTTAACTTATTGTCCTGAGGCAATACAATCTTGGTAGGGCTAAATAATGAACAGGGTCATGCTTTATATTTCGTCACCCCTGTAGGGGCTTATTTATTAAAATAGAAGAAAAGAGAGAAAATTAATTAAATTAGAAAATGATATTTTTTTCCATCAATACTTATGGAAGATCATAAATAAATTTAGTTTATTTACTATTTAATTTAAGTTTTTATAAATTTTACCACCATCACCAGTGCTAACATTTGAATGATTATCATCTTCATCTGGAAAAGATATTTCCTCTGACACCTGTGACAAGCCGGGATATGTCATTAAATTAGCCGTTACAGCCATAGAAGGCGACTGAAGCTATCTTTCTAAAGCAATGCATTATTAGTTTTATATTTTTGAGCATTAGCCAGATCTGCTGAAGCATTCAGATGACTGAATTGAGCGATTTTTTGTTTGTTTATCTAGTACCTTCATTTCATTGTCAATTGACTTTGTTTTCTTTTCTAGTGGGGATTTATATTGCCCTTCGTGTCTTTTTACATTATTACTCTTGCTACAGGATGGCTTGCTATTTATCACCCTTTCTTCTTTTTCTGGTGTAGGTTTTGGTGGTTCTTCAGTCGTTCTTTTTTTATTGGTCTTGCTGCTGGATGCATTTGTAGTTACTACACTTTTACATGCATCTTCATCGGCATCTTCACTATCCGATGACACGCCTATCATGCCCACCACCCCCGGACTATTTTTACCCAAAATATCAAACACCAAATTATCCAGTTCAATCAAAATCACTTTTCCACTTCCTGTTTGCCGACTTCTATCAAGTTTTTTCTGAAAATAAAATGAATATTTTTGTCACAAAAAATAATACAGATTGAAGATAAATCATATACATATAACAAAAGGTTCATTGGCTTGCATAAAATAGAAGCAAAAAAGCAATTTTAATTAATCGCTACACAGCTTTTTGCACACTTTTTTTAAAAAATATAATGGTAACTCTTCATTATTGACCGACTTTATTTATGAATAAAAATCACTTACCTTGGCACGTCTTATTCAATTTCCCCAAGTTGTATCTCTCAGCTTTTCTTTTGTACAACTTTCGGTCACCATCCCAATTATTTGGCATATTGCAAAAGTTCTTCCCACGCTTGTTGTTTATTTTCATTTCACCTTATTGGAAAATTTCCCATCCAGTGTCTCTTTATAATCGCGAAATTTGTGTAAAAATTAATTTTTTTTTCATTTATACTCTAAATTAATGATTTAGACTGTACTAAAGCTATACAAAAAGTGTTTATACGCAGTTACTTTGACCGTTAAAATTGTATGGTAAAACTACTTTATCAGGCATATTTGAAGAATCTGTGGCCCGTTCAACGATATTTCAGAGAGAAATAGGCAAGGTTAAATAAAGAAAAAACTCGACAAAGGTTTATATGCGTTACTCGTCAAATCTTCATGAATAATGAATAGACGCAAATTTATTTTAAAACAAAAACGACATTTACTTTTCATTCCTCAACTTTTCTCTCTTCACTTGTCGCTCATTAACTCTTCATTTTTATGAAACAGGCCTTTGGTCTCAGTTTCAGAGAAGGACATATGAGGAGGGTTTTTTATACCTTCTCACAACCTCCCACAAGGAATTTTTCCTCGGGTGGATTTTGGACAGGGTTTTTTGTCAGATGCTGTTACGGTGGCCATTTATTTGTGTATTTATATTTTTATAGATATCCATTAATCTAACCCTGTCTTCACCTTTTACGAATTTGATTTTCGTTTGCAATGAGGTCTGTGATTTCAGGTGGCAGTGTGTCTGCATGGTTTTGTTGTCTTTTGGTACGACTATTATGAATTTATATGTTAATATTATTACCAACACCAACTACTCGAACAAATGTTGCGTTTGTCTGTGCATTGTCGTATGGAATTATTGAGGTCCCGAAAGGCTCGGGTGAGCTTTGTTATATTTACCAGGCTGTTCAAGATAATAAATTCGTCGTTCAGGGCGAATATATCGTCCATGGTACTGTAGCGTTCGCGATCTGTCTTGCCTGTTGTTGTCTATGTGGTTGCAGGCTGCTCAGTTGGGATTTATCTGGTGGGTAGTGGTTAAAATTTCTCTAGGGTTAGCCTGTTAGTGATGGGCATTTTCATCTTTCAGGCGTTTCCTGCTGGGAGTGGTGCCTGCACATATTTTCGTGGCTTTTGCTGCTAGGTCTGCTCCTCCATCCTGGCTACACTTTCTAGGTATTCCGAACATTGCGTATATTTTATTTGAAAAGTAACAACCTCGTAGACTAGGCCACAAGTAGCATTTGTATAAACTTTACGTCTATTAAAAAACTTTTTTTAAACGCTTATTGTAAACAAACACAAACTACTTCATTTTTTATAAAACAGTAATGCTACATCTTAATTGCGCCGGTAGTGGTCCTTTTTAAAGACTTAAAAGACAGCCCTCGTATATACTTTTATTTATTATGGTTTTATTAAGAAGTTGATCTATATCCAACGAAAAGCTATTATTCCAACGATTAGACAATCTTAAGTCGTTGCTTCTTTGATAAAGGTATGTTTTTATTACGTGTATTTTAAACAGTTCTCTTATTTTATTAGGGTCAAAAAATAGTTTCATTTGTGCCTTCTTTCCAATGATTTATAGTGCTTTTTAAAGTGATTTTCTTACCAAATGACAAAGTAGAAAGTTTTGATTTTCGTGTTAATACTTTAAATCCAGTTTAATTAAAACAACGCTACAATTTAATTTATTAGCAGTTAAATAACACCTGCATGAAATCAGTGGTGTTTACATTGTATCGTTATTACTTGTAATCTGTTCAATTTTAGGTATCATATAGAATTAATAAATAAGTTAAGAATTATAAAATATGAAAAATGTAAAGCAGAAGCGTTAAAGAAAAAATATTCCTAAATGTACTGTTTAGTTACAAAGATATAAAAAACTGAAACAATGTTATCGATACAGATAAGTGAACTGAATTTTTGTAAGGAAGGAGACCTAAAAGTAATAATATCGCTACAATTAACCCCTCTATGAGAAAAACACAGTTTTAGAGCACCATTGTTATAATATTAAGTTAAGGAAAACATCAACTAAATAATTTAAAAAACAAATTAGATGAAAATAAATAAGATAAATATCTTATTTGTACCTGGTAATTATTAACAATAGTTGGAGAAACTAGAAAAGGAGAGAAATAACACAGCATTTCTAATATAAATACCAAGTAAAAATTTAAAAATACGAAAATATCGAGAACACCTATAGTGATAAGAAAGGATAAGGAAAATTTATTAAACAGAAAGGACAATTGATGGAACGAGAAAAGTATGAGACATATTGGAAACTTACAAATAACGAAATTAGGAACAAGCTGAAAAGACATATAGTAATAATAATAATAATATTTATTCATACAAAAAAAATACAATAATAAGTAGGATATAAACGCAGCTTGTCATATTTAACTAATATTATAAACAACAAAATGAAAAAAGGTTTAAATACCTACACAGATTTAAAAAAAAAAAATATATATATATATAAAATTGTATAAATAAATAAATTACTCGATAAGCGAGTGAACGCTTGTTTCGAAATAAAACAATAACTAAAAAGAGATACTTAACTAATAACTAAAACTAAATTAAAATTACAGAAAGAACATTCGAATTTAAAATAAACTTATTTATAAAGATTGTTAAATTTAGTTTTTTTTTTTTATTATTTTTATTTTTATTTTTATTTTATTTATATTATTAGAAGTAACGAAGTGGTAATTTCAAACTCCTAATTTACGAAGTGATTTTGAATCAGGCTTCGAGCATTTTCAAGAATAAACTCTTTCAATTTTGTTTTAAAATGGGTTGTATTTTTTATGTCTTTAATGTGTATGGTATCATATTGTAAAATTTGGGTGCCAAATATAAATATGACTTTTGTGTAATTGTTTTGAGCATCAGTGGGGACACAAAATGATGTTTCTGACGTGTATCATAGTCGTGGCTTGGAAGATGGGAATACTGTTTGTTTACATGATATTTTGTTGTGGTACAGAAAAAATAGAGTTGTCTTAAATCAAGAATCTGTGTGTCTTTATATAAGGCATCGGAGGAATATCTGGCATTTTTAGCGTAAATTAGCTTTAAAAAGCGTTTCTTAGTGACTTCTAAGGAATGTATATGGGTATTCAACGCTGCACCCCAGATAACGATGGCATACCTAAGATGGCTTTCAACTAATGAAAAGTATAGTGTTTTTAGATACTTTAGCGGTAATAATTTTGTTAATTTTCTAAATTTATATAGGATACTTCTAAGTTTATTGACTAAGTATGTAATGTGTAAATTCCATTTTAAATGTTGATCTATTATTACGCCTAAGTATTTTATTTTTGATTCTGGTGATATGAAAAAGATTTCCTTGTTAACCTTGATTTTTAGTTGGTTAAAAGGTGGAGCGCCGGTTGAATTGCAACTGAATGGCAAGTAGTTTGTTTTTTCAAAGTTTACTGTTAATATTTTGCTATCGAGATATCTTTTAATATTTGAAAAGTCTTGTTCCGCTTTAACTTTTACCTCCATCCAGCTATTTGCATTATAAAAAATTGCCGTATCATCCGCAAATCCAATTATAGTACTACATGTATCTAAAGAAAATAACTCATTAATATATATATTAAATAGCATAGGACCAAGGATGGACCCTTGAGGTACACCATACTTTATGGTTTCCGCGCCACTGCAAACATTACCCACTCTCACAGTCTGGAGTCTGTCAGTCAGATAACTTTCAAAGAGTTTGTTGCATTTTCCCCGTATTCCGATATCTTCCAGTGACTGTAAAAGTAGGCGGTGACTGACCGTATCGAACGCTTTTGATAAGTCAATAAATATACTTAGGCATGGTTTACTCTCATTTAGGGATTCTGTGATTTTTGTTGTAAGTTTTAAGATGGCATCCTCGGTACTTTTTTTTTCGCGGAATCCATATT